GTGGGAGAGTGGAGGATTTGCATATGGGCTTTGTGCTAGGATGACTACGCACCTTAAGGGGAGTTTGGAACGAGTTGGGAATTTTAGTGATTGATAATTGGGGCCTACGGATTTAATTTGAAGTATTGGGCTGTTATGCGGTAGAAGATTTGATATAACGGAAAGGAGCTACTTGAAATGAAGAAGGATACAACGTAACTTTGAATTGGAAGGATGTTGTCGCGCATTTAATTGATGTCCACAAGGGGTGAATGGACTTGTGCAGCTAGAGAGTGAGCTTGGATTCAGGATTTATGCCTTGTATAGAGGCGGGTTTCAAGGGAAGTGATTATGTCGGGTGCTTCGTCGAGAGGGTATTCATGTGCTAGAAAATTCATGGAGTTGAATATATTCGGGGCTAAGTTAGAGCGGCTGGCTCTCAACAACGGTCCTAGTGGATTCAAAGTGGCAAGGCGTGGTGCCTAATGATTTCGAGCCTATAGGTACGGTTAAGAATCAAGCTTTGTTGCAGCTTATGAGAAGAGGCGCAACATTTTCTATGATGTTTTGACTCGCAGTGTAGCATTTGGGAGGTATGAAATAGTTCGTGTGATTGAGACAGCATGGTCTCGTGATTCAAGGTCACTCGGGATGAGTGCGGATGGAATGTGTTATGTGTTGAATGGAGTCATTATTATTCTAAGGCAATCAAGAACTAATTGGAAGAAGATAGATTGGTTAGCCACAGTTGAATTGGCATATTGGTGGTAGTGATCATTTCCTTCAACGTGATCAAGTTATGCAAGTGATTCGTGACGGCACGTATGAGGCTTGTCGACCGCCGTAGTTGATGTTATTCATAAGTATTCCACTGTTATGGCCTGTCATGTATAGGTGGATCCCGGAAGGGCTATGGTGGCCTAGACCACTACTTAGAGATTTGCATATTCTACGGTTATGAGAATTCACCTGTGTGTTGATCATTAGTCATTTCTGTAAAAGAATGACACAAACGTTAAAATCACATAGATTTTAATCTCCAATAGAGTACAAAACCACAAAGGTTTTACTCTCCAAAAACAATGAGTACAAATACAGAAAATATATTAAATTCCTTAAACTTGTTATTAAATGTATTTGTAAACTAATTATGGAAAAACAAAGCAGAATAATATATAAACAGAAAACGTAAAGAGATAGAAATCAATTCGAGCCCACTGAATTCACAGTGTTTCCTTAAGGAATTTAATCCCCTCCTAGTACTCAAGGTTATGGATTATTTCCTCCCAGGATAGAACGAATTACACACTAGTGTAGTGGTACTTCAAACCCAGTATTTCAGCGACCACAAAGTTCGGTAGCAAATCACACTTACTGTTGCTTTGTTTGATGTTAAAAGTATGCAGAAGAAGGAGGAGAAACTCAGAAAATCGTATGGAAATTCTGAGCAGAATAGTCTTTTATTTATAGCCAAAGTTGGGCTGAAATCTGAAGAGGTGCAACTCTTCAAAATGGCTGTTTATGCAAAACGGCCACAACATAAATGGCTATTTACTCAACAATAAAGAGGGAAAATTGAAAAGGTAGTTCATTTCTGTTACCAAAACAGAAAAACGGATTGGATTTAATATTAATATTTATTTTAATATTAATATTATGTTATTAAGACAAATATTTAATAACATTTCTGTTAATATTTTTCCGAATTCGAAGCCGAAGCCGAGCAGAGCGAGCAAGCGAGCGACGACGACGGCGCGATGCTTGCTTTCTTCTCAACTCTTTAAGAGCTAGAAGAAGAGCAATTGCTTATATACCCATAAAAAACCTCTTCCTCTTCCAATATGGGACAATGTCCCTTTGCCAAGGGGAGGAACTTAAAATTTCACTAAAAATTACATTTCCCTCAATTTCCAATTCACCATCTTTTAAGTATTTAATATACTTAAATACATAAAACCCAACAATCCCCCACATGAATGGGGAATGGCTATATCACGGAAACATGCATGAAAAATTGTGCGATTCGCAAGCAAGGATTAATTGCATCTGGATAAGTAGGTTTCCCCTTGAACTTTCCGTAGTGAACTTATGTCGGATATACTCGATCAATAGGTAGATTTGATATCTTTGAACCGTCGAACTTTGGTGTATATCTATACAACCACAAGTCACACAACCAACCCTTAACCGTCTTTGGTTCTCATTGTTGTGTTCGTTTCAGCCATGAACACCTCATGGTTTCATAAGTGCATAGAGAATCCGAATCCGAATCCGAAGCCGAAGCCGAGCCGAGCCGAGCGAGCGACGACGGCGACGGCGCGAGGCTTGCCTTCTTCTCAACTCTTTAAGAGGTAGAAGAAGAGCAATTGCTTATATACCCATAAAAAATCTCTTCCTCTTCCAATATGGGACAATGTCCCTTTGCCAAGGGGGGAAACTTAAAATTTCACTAAAAATTTTATTTCCCTCCATTTCCCATTTACCCTCTTTTAAGTATTTAATATACTTAAATACATAAAACCCAACAGGTTTTCCTCCATAATTTTTAGGTTTGTTATCAGTTTTATCCACCTCCTGGATTTTCGGATGGTCTTACTATTTATGTTATTGCCATAGCGCAGTGGAGTTCTATTTTACGACGATTAAGTCTACTCAAATGACTGGCTCCATTATGCTATCCGGACAAAATCGTATATTTGTGGCTTAAACTTCTCTATTCGAGCGGATTAAGGTTCGTACGTATGATGATCCGTACTTGCTGGCTCTTAGAGAGATCATGCTACGAGGTGATGCCAAAGAGGTGACTATTGCTGATGGTGGTGTTCTGCGACTCCGGGATCACTTATGTATACCTAATGTTGATTGCTTGAGAAAGTTAATTCTGGAGGAGGCTCACATTTCTCGTTATTCTATTCATCCAGGTGCCACGAAGATGTATCATGACATAAGGCAGTACTACTGGTGGCGGCGTATAAAAAAGGACAAATGTATCAAGGTATTTGAATTTCCAGTAGAATAAGTATGAGCACCAGAGACCGGGTGGTTTACTTAAGCCAATGGTTATACCAGAGTGGAAATGAAAGCGCATCTCCATGATTTTGTGGTTGGTTTGCCGCGGATGTTGAGGAAATTTGATGCCATTTGGGCCATTGTCGATAGACTAACCAAGCCTGTGCACTTTATTCCGGTGATGTATATACTTCGGAGAGGTTAGCTCTAATTTACATGCACGAGAACGTTTGGTTTCATGGCGTGCCTATTTCCATTATTTCGGATTGAGGCACTTAGTCCACTTAGTATTTTTGGAGAACGGTACAGGGTGAGTTGGGTACTCGAATAGAGCTCAGCAGGGCCTTTCATCCACAAACTGACGGGCGGTCGGAGCGGATAGTGCCAAATTATAGAGAATATGCTTAGGGCATGTGTGATTGACTTCGGAGGGTAGTGAGACCAATTCTTGCCATGGGTCGAGTTTGCATATAATAATAGCTATCAGTCCAGTATGGCTCCATTTGAGGCTTTGTATGGCTGAAGATGTCATTCCCCTATCGATTGTTTTGAGCCCGCCGAGGCATTGGTAAAGGCGGATCCAGGATTTAAAAATAATGGGTTCGTACAACGATCTCAACTTAATTTACAATAGTTTATGGATTCACAATATGATATTTATAGATATTTAATGAATTTCTTAGTATTTATACAAGATATAAACAAAAGTTACTGGGTTCCGATGAATCCGGTCTTTCTTTCTCTGGATCCGCCCCTGGGCATCAGGAAAGTAGTATGGAAAATTGATAAAATCTGATATTTATATTTAGAGGTAATGACAACTTGATAAAATCTGGTCTCACTATTTACCGATGACTCCAAATTTTTTAAAATTGTAATATAAGTATTTTAAAGTATTTTGTACGATAATATAATTTTACAATTCCTCTGTTTTCAACTAACTTGCATTTTATTTTGAGACATTTTACAATATTCAAATATCAATACTATATTATTTATACAATTTAAATGTGCTTTCCAAATAATTCACATGAAGGTAAAAACATAATTAAAAATTCAACTCAATATAGTGTTCATCAAGCAGGAAAATGTATTTTTGATATATAAAGTGTATTAATCTTTTTAAGCATCGTGTCTTATTGTATCAATTGAGAAAGAACTTCTGCTTTGGGCAAACAAGGACCTTTGGTTGATTGTCAAAATAAAGAAATTGCACTGTATGGACCTTTTCAGAAGCATTATTTATATTTTAACCCCAATGAAAAAAAAATTTAAAAATAGTCTCGCGCCAGAACTTTGAAGCACCAGTAATTCGGACAGTTTACTTTGAAATTATGGGAGCATGCTTCAAACTTCTAGCAGTGTGCTTCAAATTTTGGTAGCGTAATTTAAAATTATGAGAGCGTGCTTCAAAAATCCGGCATCGTGCTTTAAAATTCTGGTGTGGGGACTATTTTTTCAATACCCTTTTTAATAGGGTTAAAATTTAAACAGTGGCACTAAAGGATCCTATTTGTGCAAATCGCTGTAAAAATAGCACAAGCTAGCCAATTTTCAGACTAGTCATTGAAAAATAGTCAGCGTTTGCAAAGTCATTGAAAAATAGCCACTATTTTGCTGCAACACGGAAAGTTCCGGCATAATATACTGGAGATTGGTGCACTTGTGTATGAACTTCCAGCATATTATGCTGGATCTCCAACACGCGAAAAGTTCCAGCATAATATACTAGAGATTGGATCACTTGTGTATGAACTTCAAGCATATTATGCTGGACCGATATATTATACTGAAATATTTTTCAGATTTTGAATAGTGTTTTCCTTCAAATTTATACTTACACGAAAGGTGGCTAAATTTCAATTACTTTTAAAATTATAACTATTTTTCAATGATCGCCCGTAAATATGGCTATTTTTGAATTTCTCCCCAAATACGTATTGGTCCTAAAGTGCTCGAACCAGCCATTTCCTCCCCGACCCGAACAGATGAAACCCAAACCCATAAAAGGCGGGATGAAAAACCGCCTTTTTCAAGCTGTCACTCTCACTAGTTCTTCCAAGTTCCAGAACCTCACCGGTGAACCATGGCGGAGCATCACCCTTCCACCGCCACTTCCTCTAACATCTTCTCCCAGAAAAATTCCGGTCCGCCAGACGACACCGTGTACTTCTCCATATACCCAAATTTCTCCTTAAACCCAACTTCTCCACCCACCACCATAACTTCTCAACTCCAATCCCTTCACCTCGAAATCCTCCAAAACCTATCCCGTTACACTTCCAGCTACATATGGCAACACGAACCCTTCACCCTCTCACTTTCCGCCACCGCCACCCCTCCCCATCTCTCCGGCAAACTCCGTTACGGCGACAACCTCGAAGACGAATGGTTCGTCGTATTCCTGCTATTCGAAACCTCAAAACACTTTCCTGATGTCTCAATTCGTGTTTGGGACAGTGACGGTGAGTTTTTGTTAATTGAAACCGCTTTTCATCTCCCCCGTTGGGTTAACCCGGACACAGCGACGAATCGGGTTTTCATTCGAGGTGGGTTTCTCCATATTATCCCTAATTCTCTAATACCCTCTATCCCGGAACTTCGTGAGGCGCTAGTTTTATTAAGCAATAATATCAGTTCTCTTCAAACTAGAGCACCCGTGGGAGTGCAGCGTCAGTTAGAGAATAGGTTAAAGGAGTATCCTAATAGAGCGGAGAAGAATGTGCATCGGGTTAGGGTTAGGGTTCCGGTGTCAGCGGCAAAGGTGTTAAAGCACGAGCCTTGTTTGATTTCGCTTGCTGTTGAAGGGTTTTACGATAGGGATATAGATACAATGAAGTTCGCAGCGAAGATGGAGAAGTTTTTGGAGGAAGGGAGTGGAGAAGAGCTGGTGCAGGTGGTGGTTAGGATGTCCAGGGCAATGTATGCGCAGTTGGTGCAGCAGACGTTTCAGGCACCAAAACGCTATCCACCATTGCCACCTAAGAGTGATTTGGGTGCTTATTTGGAAGCTGAGCTTGGGATGAAGATTGCTTGTGGATTTGAGATGATTTATCAGTTGAGAAAGACACAGGGCATGGAGGGAAAAGGGAGTACTTGGGATGTGTTTAGACAGAGTCTCGAAAGGAGTGGGTATTTTGAAGGGTTGTTGCCGGGATCAAAGGAGTATAAAAGACTGATGCAGAATGCTGAGGAGTATTACAAGAATAGTTCACTGCATGCTCGAGAAAGGTATCTGTTGTTTGTCAGTTTGTGTAAACGAAAAAAGATTAATTTTTAATGAAATTATAGAAGATGCATGTTTACAGACCTATTAGAGTTTGTTTCATAAGCTTTGGTACAATTGGTTTCTTGGGTAGGACGAGTTCAAGCTATACTTGGCATTTGGTGTATATATGTCTAGTTAACTTCTTTGCCAAGGGAAATGGTGTATGCAATGGCTTCTTGAATGATATTATTGTGAGATAACAAACAAAACTGTGGGTTGCACCACTAACAATATCTGTAGATTTGGGTAATAATAAATTATGCCATCGTGTTTATATTATCAATATAAAATTTCTGCATACCTGGTAATAAAATGGGCATTGCCTGATCAGGATCAGTCTGGTACCGTTTGCAAGTTCACGAATCCTAGGTAAATATCTCCTGGTGCGTCTGTTTAACTTTATTTCTTGTTTATATGATGATGTAATAACTCCTATCAATTGTATGGATTTTCAATAATGAGTTCAAATTGTTGCATACTTTCCTATGCATCCTAGATGTCAAAAGGAAAATTTGAAGCAGAATTTATGTATACTTAATTGATACTGGATTTTGAAACCTTTTGCCTTATTTATTTAATAGAAGAACTTGGAACTTGATTTTGAATCTCCGAGAGTTGTTAGTCTTTGAATACTTATGTCCTGCCGTACTAAAAGGAGAACTTGAAAATTGTAACGTAAGTGACATGGTCATATTGTTTACTGTAATGGTACTTTTTTTCTCTTGGCTTGATTCACCAGTTTCTCCACTTATTGCTTGATATGCTGATAATACTGTTTATATTAATCTTGTCTGAGATGCCCTTGTGTGTAATTTAAGTATTCCTTAACCTATTACTAATCAACTTCTGGAAAAAGCAGTGATATGCTAAGTGCTCCAGTGCGAAGAATAGATGAGATCCTTGCGCTTCCAGAGTCTGCTGATGACTTTAAGGATCAGGAGCTGCCACCCTCTGATGATGATTCATGGCTTTATGATGGGGAAGATGAGCTAAATGCCGCTCTTCAAGAGAGGCAAAAGGAGATGGAACTTTACAATTCAAAAAGGAAACAAAAATCAAAAGGACAGGGTGGGCCCAGCAATGATTCTGATAATTTTGATCTTAAAGATATATCAAAGTCTATGCAAGCATTTGTCACAAAAGTGGCCAGCTATGAAGGTGCAGAGGTTCCAGAAGACAGGTTTTTGTCCTTCATTCTTCTCATTTCAGCACGTGGATTGGCATATACTTGATTTTTTAATGTTTTTTGTTTTTACTGACGAGGGGTTAGATTGTAACATCTTGTATTTATCGGGTTTGTGCTATTTGGATTAACTGACTTGCTGATTATAGTGATTGTCTTTGGACGTTTTCTGGGGTCCAAGTTTAAAATAGATCAGATAGTTATGAAGCAAGAGATTGCATCATAAATTATATAAAGTCAAAGGAGGGCTAGTTTGCTTAAATATATCGTATCTATATTCTTCAGGAGCAGCATTTTCTTGAAAATAAGGGTGTAGTGCGTCAAACTGGTGAATAAAGGAGGACATGCGTCCATCCTCTGTAGCTTATTTTGGCTTATCCTCTGTCTCCTTTAGGAACGTAAAGGAAGTGGACTTTGATGTGGATCGCTTTATGAAAGACATGGAATCATTTGTGAGGCGTCAGGGCTCTGAAGACACGGGCAATGATATAGAAGAAGAGTCATCATCGGATATGGAGTTTGGTGAGTCACGTTTTTTGTTTCTTCAAGTCGATTTTTTTTAGTAGCAATAGCCAAATGTTATTTATTAATTATATATGCAGATTGGAATTTTTCGCTTTTTTATAATATTGGTGGGTCTGTGCCAACGAAAATTGCCTAGTTTTAGATGGATATCTCACAGCTTTTACTTTCAATTTTTCCTACCATAGTTTGTTGCTTTTTTTTGTCGGGAGAGGGGAGGTGGGAGAGGCCGGAAGGATGTGATACCTGGTCCCCCTTAGGCTGGGTTTGGTTGAGGTAGGGTGGTAGGGCGCCGGATCATTTTTCTCGTTGGTTATGGAGGTGAAGTGATAGTGGAAGGCTCAGCTGCTCCTCCATGACAACTTTTACCCATCAATTCTGATGTGTTCGAATGTGGACAAAAGATCACGTTTATATAGGGAAGTCAACCAGGTAGTTCTCTCCCTTATCATCCCTCCTCTTCATGGGAGGAACTTAACAATAGTATTGGTGTAAGTTCATCTTTTGAACTCACTAAGTTTACAATCCCCCCCCCCCCCCCCAAAAAAAAATGCAAAAGAAGAAGAATAAAGTTGACATTTTTTGGACATGCAGATGAATCTGAAGATGAGAATGATATCACCGAGCCATCTGATGATGAGGAAGGTGCCGCTTTCATGGATTCATATTCGGACGCTCTGAATGAGGAACTTAAAGGCAGCACACTGAGTAATACATTTGTCCGTGCACATGAACAATCCGTTAAGAAATATGAGGTTAGTCCAAACTTTTAATTAAATCTATATTTGTTTTCTGATTTTGGCTGGGGATCAGGTCTCAGCTGGTAGTAATTTTCCTGCTATGTTAAATTTACAGTTTATTCCTGTGCCCCAACATCATTTCAGCATTGACAAAAGTGTTTATGTGGCAAAAAATGGGTTCTTGTAAATGTAGCATATTGCTTGCACATACCCCGATTCTGTAAATTAGAGACAGAAGACAGAAAAGTGAAAATTGCCATTATACATTGCATTTCCAGTTACAAATAATATTGCTAAGATCACTCATTGGACAAATTTATGAAGCAGGGAACATCTAATGCTACAGAAAGCATGGAAGAGGAGTTCACTCCAGTGGATGTGGATTTCAATCTTGTAAAGAATTTCCTCGATTCATTTTCTTCTCAAGAGGGACTTCCTGGACCTGCTTCTAACTTGCTTGGACTCATGGGCCTACAGTTACCACCACCAGATGCTAGCAAAGGGAAATAAGCATATTTTTGTCCAGCAGCCAGCTTATTTCTCTACTTCCTTTTCTGTATCCTGTTTGTTTATGATTGCCATGGAGATGAAGGTCGTCTGGAGGCTTAGCTTGAAGTTAAAGATCGTCCACATTCTAGTGTACTCAGGCCTACTCCAGGAGCCACCACCTTGAAACAAAGTTCATATATTGTGTCAATCGTTCTGCATCAGATATGTTCCAATATTAATCGAGAATTCTTGTTGCAAGGAACGATAGTTTTGGCGAACATATTAGAATTAGAGACACATGAGAAAGAGATGAATAACCGGTACATAATAGATCTTAGGTGCCATGATCCTTTTTTGGCCAAGAGGCATGTGATGAGATTATGATGTGATTGTATTAGTTTTGAGTTGTGAGAGGTCTCTTCTTAAGGGGGAGTTTGGTGTGTTCATTGTGTCTTTTTCATTTTCCCCTAGTTATTTTTAAGTCAGACATGGAATTTTGAAAAAAAAAATTAGACAATTGAGTTGAGAACGAGAGCAAAGTTATTATGAAGCTATCCTGTAGTTTGTCTACTGTTATAGTTGGTATAATATTCACTTTGCAAACTGCTCATCTAATGCATCATTGGGCGCAAGTTTATTGGGGTTAATAACAACTTTATTTAGTTTAAAAACTCAGTTTCAGATCATCGTTAACCAACTTTTGAGCTATGTTAAAAGTGCAGCTTTGCTTGTGAATTTTTTTGGTTTAATAACAAGTAGCACCTCTGTTTTTCTTAGAGCATTCTTTAAACCTTTCTCATCTTTAAAGACAAATGTTTACAATCCTAAGTTCGTTCAACTTCAATGGAAAAAAAGAAAAAAGAATTTGACCCCATTTTAGTTTTTTCTGTAGTGTAATGCTTTTTTTACTTTGTCCACAATTTTCATCCAAACGAGTAGATGTTTATTACCTCTAACTGTATTGATCAAATTGTACACGCTGTTCGATCTCGTTTGGTTTTGTATTCTTAGAAATATTTAAATATTTAAATTATAGTATGCTACTAAAAAGAGCAGGAAACAAATACTAATAGCATATTTGATCATTTTTATAAACCCAAAGTGTTTTTTTCTCAAAGTTAGAGTGTGTGGTCAAACTTTTTAGAAGAAAAAAGTGCTTTTGAGTAGAAGTAGAAACATAAGCGGTTTTTGAGAATTAAAAAAAAAAGCTTCTTCCCAAAAATACTTTTTCTAAAAATACTTTTGAGAAAAAATACATTTAAAAGCACTTTTTAAAAAGTTGATCAAATATTAATTGCAATTCATAAGTGCTTTTCAAATGCCAAATACAAATTGCTTCTCACCAAAATTATTTTTCTAAAAAACACATTTTAAAACAAGTTGATTTTAGAAACTTGGCCAAACAGGCTATCTGTATGGGTCGAAATCTGACCCTGATGGCTGGAGGCGATAAAAAAGTTCGACCCCGTCATGGCCGTGCCCACGAGGCGTAATGGCGACGGGCCCCATGGTCCCTGTCGAGGTCAGGCCGTCAAAAAGCTTACATCGCAGGATAAGCGTACGGTCTTGGATAAGAAACAAAGGACTGTCACAGGAAAGGAGACTGGTCAAAGACCGTTGGATAAAAGGGAACATTGTTGATATATAAAGAGAGGGAGGGAACTGTGAAAGGGGGGTTGGCTATGACTAACAAGAGAAATACTACGAAGCCAAGGGGAGAAGATTCCTCAGTTATCTACAGCTTCCTTTTCATCTTTTATACTCCTTCCACTGTAATCCAAGTCTGTCTCAGATGTAAGCTTACCGTTCTCACTTAATGTATGATAGTTATCTCAAGAAATATTAAATTAGTTTATTCTCTTCCAATTTTTATACTCAATATGTTGTGATCTAGAGTTAATTACCTTTGGCTAAGATTTATCCTCTATTCCATTCATTAATTAGTTTAACGAGAAGTTTAATACTTTTTGGTCAACCAATTTGACGTCGTCAGTGGGAATTTCTTAGCCAAATTTGTTAGTTTCCTTTAGATCCAGAATCAGCGGAATATCGCTACCAGGCTGTCGTGGCCTCACCTTCTCGGCGCTACCACCCACTCGAAAGAGCGGTAGGTAAGCCTTCGAGATGACGTACCAATCTAGGTCAATACGCTACCCAAAGTAGAAGTTATAACCAATATCTATGTAAAACCCACTTCTCGCCCGTAACAGTAGGTTTGACACGACGAACGCACGTACAAAATAGGATCCCGATCACCTAGCGTAACCACAGCCCCATTCGACGCATTCACCCTACTTAGGGGCCCGTACTCCCATTCCTTGTGAAGGGACAGCAGCTTGCTGCACGGTCTTCTAAAAGAAAGGGCACACCCTACCCTATTTTCACATTCCTGCACTCACTAGATGGTCTATGAACGAAGTATGACATGTTTCTCTTGTTGTTGGCACAAATCGGACGAGATCGAGCGGGGACTCGATTTTATCCCATCAACGAACGAGGCGAGGCCAACCCATGCGGAACCTAGGCGCTGGTAACACGGAGCCAAACACGGCCGCCCAATTTGAAACCACCATCTGAACACCAGGCGGAGCGAGTAACACTACAACGTCAATCTTTCTTTCACTGACTCGTCAGGCCGAGGTAACAGAAAATTTCATTCTGGTTTGTCTTCACTCCTTTATCGGTTCAAACAGGTGAATGCAAGCACTCGCGCGGGCAAGCAAGCAAAGGAGCATTCCAACTAGAAATAATGGAAGGAAAACTACTACAAAACGATTGGAATATCACCCATCTCAAATACATCGACTTCTGAAAGAGGACGCCCCTCAAGTCGTACCCTTTTGACTAGGCGACGAACAGGACGTCTCGAAACTCAAATATGGTTCGCCGTCCAGCCTACCGACTGCTTCTCCAGGCGGAACGGTGAAGGGACCAGATACATGAAAACTCCTCCAATATATGTATGAAACGAACATGTACAACATTCTCCAGTGAATGAAATAAAGCAACATTTCGTACTCTCCACCAGAGTATTCTCCAATGCAAGCGAAGTTAAGCAAAACTGGGACTCACCGAGGAAACGCATAGTGTTCTCCAATGCAAACAAAGTTAAGCAAAATTGGGACTCACCCAGGGAACACCCAACATCCTCCCATAAAAACAAAACCGAGCATGCCGGGACCACCCCGATGCATATACAAACAATACGGTAACCTGTAAAGTTCTCCAAAAATCCACGACAATGAGGTAATGGGTTAACATTTCGACCTCAACTCGAAATAACATCTCTACGGCCAACGACCGTCGCCAAAAAAAGAATTCGACCTTGCTCGTATTGTAAAGGGTGAACATTTTGACCTCTCGGCCTCAAGCGCCACGACGCGGTCCCCAAGGCTCGAGGCCTCCCGGTCAATCTCGCCAATGTGCTCCTCGAGCCGCGCATCCCTCAGCGTGGCCGTTGCCCTCTCGGATTCCTGCTCAGATTGGAGGACGCGGATAGTGTCCTCTAATGCCGCCACCCTTGCCAAAGCATACGCGCGAGCATTCTCGACATTCTCCAATTCGGCTACTTTTCTCTCCAGCTCGGCTAACTACCCCATCCATTCCGCACTCAGAATTTCTACTCTGGCAGCACTCTGATCAAGTTCGGCTTGTAATGACGACACCTTCGCCTGCAGATGCTCGCATTCGGCAGCAACCCCTTTTCCTAACTCGAGTTCTTCGTCCTTGGTACGAAGCAGCTCCTCGAGCTCACTACACCTGCGAATGGACTGCATCAGTTCCTGATCCCGCTTTTCCAACTCCTCTCCGAGGGATTGGGTGCCAGCGCCCGCCCTGAGCTTCTCATGCATCTCACGGCATCTACTGCGATACCGCCGATACTTTTCAAGCATCGTCAGAAAAATCTTGGTCCGAGTTTCGGCCCTGTGAGCACTCTCGATCTCTAGCATATAAGACTGAAAACAAAGAGAAGAAGATAGTCGGTGAGATCCAAGATCAAAATAAAAAAATAAAAAAATAAATAATAATAACAAACAAAGAGAAACACACAAGGAGCTCACCCTTAGGCCCATCGCAGCCACTCCATGTGACTGTTCAGCATCGCTGACGTCCTGAAGAGCTCCGCTCACTGCGGCCGAGCACAAGAGATCAAATCGCGGTACAAAGTCCACCGTATCTTGCAAAAGATTGAGGTCCGACGAAATCTCAAGTATCCGAGAAGGACCCCCCGCCGTTACCACGGTTCGGGTGAAGCCATCCTCGAACATCCTAACGTCGTCAAGATCAAGGTCGGATTCAGGCTCGTAATCGTCGACCATGACGCCTTTCCCCCTCTCTTCAGTCCGAGAAGATGTGCGGGTCGGCCGGGATGTTGAAGGGTCGCTCGAGACAGTAGTAGCGACCTCGGGACTCCGTCCCCCCACCACTTCGGCTTGCTGATCTCTCGTAACCAGCGTAGCCTCTATGACCGTACCGATATCACCGCCAACATCAAGCGTCGTCAAGATAAGGTCGACCCCCGATGATATTTCGATTAGAGGCGCCACCTCCAGGGCTACCCGTCGTCTCTTCGACGGGCCCTCTCCACTACCAGCACGGGATGACTCGACCATGGAGCGGACGGTAGGGACCGGAGTCTCAGGTTGAGAAATAGCCGCTGCGCTTGCAGCTCCGACCGCAGGTGCAGGTTGGTTAGCACTCTCGATGCAGGCCGGATAGCAGCCCTCGGCGCAGGACAGGTAGGGGGCGCCAGCTGGCGGAATGCGAGAGGAGGAGCCCTCGTCCTTCGCGTTCTCCCTGCCAACAAAGAAAAACGGTCATATAACGACAAGATTGAACCTTGTAGAAAAGAGAGCAGGCCGACTCGCCAGTGAGAGGTTTACGCCCATATTTCTCGTGGAAGGACGTCCACTCGCGAATGCCCCTTGTATGGGGAAGAACCGCGCTCACCCACTCACGAATATCGTCAACTGGAGGGGGAGGTAATCTCTCTGCTACAAAGTAAAAACAAGTCAGCAAAATCGCCCAAAGAAGAACGATCGGCGATCGCCTTGAGAAAAATCGCAAAACAAACAGAACTTACGAGCGAAGTTCCATGTCTCAGGGAACCCTACCGGGTCCGCCACAAGGTGCTCTGTCCGCACGTAAAAATAGCTTTCCCAGAAGCGACGGTTAGCCTGATCATCCATCTTCACCACTAAACTTTTGGTTCCCCGATGGCGCATATGAATCATCGTGCCCCGAAGAAATTGAGGGGCAAAAATATTAAGCATGTGCCCCAAAGTAATCCCTCAACCGGCGAGCTCCGCATACTTGATGAGCATGAGGAGGAGCTTGCACACGTACGATGAGAGCTGAGCTGGGCACACCTCGTAGAAACGGCAGAAGTCTATCATTAGAGAATGGAGAGGAAGCGTATACCCGACAACAAAAGGATACGCATAAAATGCGCAGTACCCCGAGCGGTTCAAGTGCACGATGTCCACCCCCGTCACTGGTATCATGTCGATATGGTTTAGGATTCCCCATTTAGCTTTGAGCGCCGTAATTGCCGCTTCATCCATGGTAGA